ATATATATATATATATAATAAATACAGAGAGTATTTTTATTGCAGTGTAATTATTGCACCGATTTTTTTATATCGTGTGGGGGAAACTAAGATATTCAAGTCATACATCAGGAGGAATTATCACAATTATATACAAATTTATACAGATGGATCTAAAACTGGATCTAAACAGATGGATCTAAAACCCTAAAACTGGTAGAACAGCAGCAGCAGCAGTGATCCCAGTATGAGTGGGAAGAGACTCAGTGATGATGTATCTGTGTTTGCATGTGAGATGATGGCCATAGAGTTATTGCGTTGCAGTGGGTAGAGGACGTCAGGCCAGAGAGAGTGGTGATTGCATCAGACTCATGGGCAGTGCTAATGAGTTTGACATGTTGCCACTCCAGAAGCAGAGAGGATTTACTGTTTGAAATACTACAATCACTATTCACAATCCATCAAATGTGGATAGAGGTTCATTTAGTGTGGGTCCATGTTGGAGTCGATGGCAATGAGAAGGTGGATAAAGCTGCAAAAAGGTCTTTGAAGAGAGGGAGAAATAACGTTAATGTAAATATAAGTAAGTCAGAAGCTAAAGTGGTGATTAAGGGACAAATCAAAAAGATATGTCAGAACGAATGTAGTAAAGGAAGATATCTGTTTGAAATAAACCTTTGGTTGGGAGGGCAGGATCTAGTGGACGAACAAAAAGAGGAGATGATTATGACAAGACTAAGGAATGGCCATACTGGTCTGAACAGTTCCCTCTAAACCAGGGGTCGTCAACGTGTTTCAGGCCAAGGACCCCCAAACTGATAGAGAGATGGAGCAAGGACCCCCGACTATATGTATTGTATAACATTGTGTTTTATATTAAACTGGGTGCCATGTATAAACATACCTGTTATCTTTCATACAATACTGAACTATTAAAGTAATGGACACATTCATGTTGAGAGAAAAAAGTTATTATTATTATTTATTTTTTTTTTAATTGTCTAATCAACCAAAAATTTCGCGGAGCCCCTGCAGTACCACCGCGGACCGCGGAGGTACGCTTTAGTAACGCTTTAGTGACAAATGTTTAGAGTCAACTAGACTAATGAATAGAATTTGAGAAAAAAAATAATTATATTTATTTTGATGTTTGTTTGTTTGGTTTTCGTATTAGAGAATTACTTTCCTTAAGTCCACACTCCAGATTAGTGGGTGGCGGCAATGCACCTAAAACTTGTTCGCCAACCGCCATTAAAAACAAAAGAAGAAGAAGAAGCAGCGTTCCTGTACCGTGTTTGGGGCTTTTATTGTGGAGGATGAGACGGAAGGAGAAAAAGAGGTTCTGGTGAAGTGTGGGAGAAGTGGATAAAGTTGCTGCCGTCTCGGCGCAGATTACGAGCCCCGTGTTTATTATTTTATAATTATCATAAAGTATTGGATTAACCCTCGGCTACACTATCAATGGATGAATCCAAAAGAGGTAAAATAGCAATAAAATGTCAAGAATTGTCTTTACTCTTGTTCTATAATTTCATAAATACAACAAACTATAGTTTTTGTATATATAATATCCAAAACTTTACAAGCTGTGATATCAAATAGCTTTTACGGCTCCAGACACATTTTATTTGGTGAACAATGGGGCAAAGTGTGTCTTCGGATGGTACAGGTTGCGACCCTGTGTTATAGAAGCTGCACATAAAGGCTGTGATGATGATCCGAGTAGTTTACAGTCGGTCGTTAATCTGTGTCCCGTTAAATAAACTAGAAGACCGAACATGAACCTTCTTACCGTGTTCATGGAGACTTGTTGCTCCACAGAAGCACAGAGCGAGGAGCTGAAGTGTGACCGCCGACATCTTCCTTATCTCCCGGTGATATGGCACCGGGATTCCCCGATTCCTCGCTCCTTTCCTCGCTCCTCCTCCTTAGGAAACCAAAGACACGCCCACATACGGAATTCCTAAAATGCATCTGGAACCTTCCAGTGGTTCCTTTGCGGAAGTGTTTTCAGCTCCCCTGAACACTCTACAGATGTACCTGTTTCCTTTTTGTTTTCATAAATCATATTTACTTAAGATCATTAAACGTTCTGTCCTTCACAGTTTGTGTAGCTCCTCATAAGTATCTGATCTAACTATTTATTAATGACATTCACCTGATATTTATGTTTTAATGATCTAATTAAACTGCTATAATCCTCACATGACGTTTCAAGTAATTATATCAATAAGAATATTCTCTTAAATCCAGCACTAATTTACTGTGTTTCTGTGTTTGACAAACATTTAAGCTGCACACAATAAAATACATGACTATAACATATAAATGATGATACACATCATATTTATACGTTTATTTAAATACTCCGAAGCTCCTCTCTCATAAACAGCGCTAAACTCAGTTAAATGACCCGCTAATATGATGTGACGTCACCAGTCACGTGGCTGAGAAGGACCCAATCGTTGTGATCCCGTGTCTTACACAGCAGAGCCGCTGTCGAGGGGAGGGGCTTCTGATTGGTCGAAGCGCGGCTTGTTTTCCCGCCAACGCGATGCATTGTGGGTGGGATCGTTAGCGGAAGTCCGCCGGGTCGTGTTGTGCTGTGTGTGTGTTTTGGTGGGGAGGAAGCTGGCGTCGTGTTTTTAAAACTGTGGAGGATTGTTTTTATTAAATTAAACTTTTAAACTAAACTAAATAATTTGAAGGAATGCGGGGCGAAGAGTCGTCTGACTCTGAGTGCGGGAGGATGGAGGAGAGCTCGGTCCGGAGGAGTCTGGAGACGTTATGTCAGGAGCTCAACATGGACGAGCAGACTGCGTCTGAGACCATGGAGAGCTTCACTAACATCTGGAACACCTACACTCTAGAGGTGAGTCCTGTAGTAACGTCTGAGACCACGAGAGCTTCACCAACATCTGGAACACCTACACTCTGGAGGTGAGTCC